TGCCCAGGATGGGCACCAGAGCCGGGCTCTGGGAAGGTGATGCCAGGGACCGGGGTGGGATGAGCCAGAACAGGATGCTCCCCACGTGCAGATTTTAAATGTGTCCTTACTGAACTCAAGTGACATTTGGGTTGCAACTGCAGCCCAAGGAACGTCTTTCCACACCAGGTACCCCTTTTCTTTCCACAAGGAGCCAACTAGTGACTCAGTGGCTGTGCCTCAAAGAGGTTTGGGAAGGACTTGTTGGGCCTTTAGGGTCAGTTCTCAGCTGTTGGTGGCAACTGCATGAGGGTACAGCAGCTCTGGGAAGGATGACCCAGAGCCTCGGGACTTGAGCTGCTGGAAGCTCCGGTGTTCTCATGTTTCAGCCCAGACTTTTCATGGCCATCGGATACTTGTTTGCTCGTGTATGAACACCCCTGCTCTTAAGGGAGATGTGTTTACTGTTGTGTTTACTCCCTGAAGTTTCGTGGAGAACACCCATTTCCCTTCTCAGCATTCAGGTTTTCTGGCTAAACAAATTATTTCAAGATCCTTATATAGGGAAAAAAATCAGTATTACCCTGTAATTACTTTCCGGTCACATTTTGTCTCCCTCGATAAAAAGTGACCAGAGCTGCATGCATAATTCCAGAGAAGGTTGCAGCAGAGCTTCCTATAATGGCATTAACATTTCCCCTTGTCCTGGAAATATCTCAGTTGATCCATGCTTTTTGTCAGATCTGCTTCATACTGGGAGTTCACAGTCATCTGGAGATCAACAAATACACCCAGATTTTTCTCTTCTTCTGTCATTTCCAACTGATGAGCTCCCAGCTTGCAGCAGAGATTCTTGTTAGCAATTCCCAAGGGCATGACCTTGTACTTTCCACTATTAAATTTCATCCCATTTCCAGTGTGCCAGCTCTGTGCTATCCAACTCTTCCAGCAGTACAGCTATTCCTGCTGCTCGGCTGGTGCCTCCCAGCTTTGTGCCATCAGCAAATGCCATCAGCTCACTCCTACCTTTTGTTCCAAGGCCTGTCTGAAAAATATTGTGCAAGATCAAGAGCACATACAGACCTGCCTTGCTGGGCCAGGCTGTGATCACGGGGATCCAGCGCTCCAGAGGCTGGATAGGGAGAACAAGGGAACCCAGACACTTTCTGCTCACTCTTCCCTTTGAACTCCCTGTGGATCCACAGCTGGTGTATATTTGAGGTGCCTTCCCTACCTTTTCCATCTAGCTACATTTTATGGACCTGCTTTCCATTAATTTATTGAATACATTAATAAATCTATAATATATCTGTTGTCTAAAAAACACTTATCAAAGGTATAATCTTAGTTAAATGCAATTAATCTTTAGTAAAGCTATGTCACATTTTTACTTTACATTTTTACATTTATTTGTCTGGCCCCAACTGCTTTTTCCTTTATATTTTATTTTTTAAGCTTTTAATGTTGTTGAGGTCACACTAATGTGTGTCTAAATGACTGGATTGCTTTACTTCCTCCTGCTTAAAACCAGCCAGTGCTTCAGGAGTTCCTCTGTAATTCATTACCACCCTCCAGCTGACAAATTAAAAACTGTACTGGATGAGTGAGGATACATTCCAGGTCCGTCAGGACTCTGGCTTTGGGAACACCTCATTCCCTGCGCTGCCAGGTTCTTACAGGCCTTGCTCTCCCTTTGGGTCCAGTAATTCCCATTTCCATAAAATAATCCTCATTAGCTATCATCCTTTGTCCTGATCATCATGGGAAATATGGGCAAAAGTCATTTAACATATTAAAAAATACACTGGAACACAAGTAATGGAGAGGTTCAGGACACAGGACATGGAATGTCTCCATGCAATGTGTGTGACCGTATTGGTAAAGATGGAGCATATAAATAAGCAGCTGGAAGTGCCCAGCTTCTCCTGTCACAGGGATGGCACTGCAGGAGTTCCCCCTCCTTGAAAACCAGCAGGAGCACCCAGCAGGTTCTGCTGTGCAGCAGCCCTGGGTCTCCAGGATCCAGCTCCCTGAAGTAGGTCACATCTGATCTCCCTCCAGACACTCAGAAAGGCAACATTTAACAGGGACTTCTCAAAATTCACATTTTGCTTGCTAATGCTGTCAACACACATCCTTTTCAGATTCACCTATGCTGGCTCAACATATTTTCGTTGCTTTGAGGTGTAAACAGGCCAAGAATCCTGTTTTTCCCTTCAGTTACCTGTATTTCTTCCAAAGTTCCGCTGAAGGTACATATTGACATTCAGATCACATTTGCATTCAGATGATGCCTTGTTGTTGGAAAAAAAATCCCTTCAGAGGGTCTGATTAACTTCCTTTCAAATGTTGGCTGTCCCTGGCCAAGGGAGAAGAACTAGAACACAACTCACTGCGTGGCTCATACCCGAGTGTGAAGACACGGGATCCTGTATTTTGCATTGTTCTCTCTGAACATTAGTGCTCCTTCCAGCTTAGACATGACCTAATGACAGACTGAAGTCCATCTGTTACAATGACTAGCCTTGGACTCAGAGGGAGAGTCCTGTGGATAATTTAGGAGTGCATTTTATAGCTGCTTGCAAGCATTTCATTTCAGATCAAGGCGAACATGAGGAGCAGGTGGAAATCTCTCGCAGAAGTACAACCTGACCTACATAGGGTATTGTAAATTAAAGATATGTATAAAAATAAAACATTAATGATCCGTCACAGTTGCAACAAAACCCAGATATAAATCTTGCTGCTGGAAAGGAGCTTCATTGCACAAGGCTTAGTAAAGGCTTCATTTTGGAACCGGTGACACTCTTGCCGCCTCCGACAGTGGTGCTGCTCTCCTCTCCAGCTTTCTTGTGTTTTCTGTAGCTTAACGCTCACAGACCTTTGGCTTTATCACTTGTGTCTCAGTTTCCATGTGTTGTTTGGCAGTTCTGCCTTGTGTTGGCTCTCTGTTCCCCATTACCTCATGCTTTAGGAGCTGTGGGCTGTGTAGGGTGGCTCAGACAGCGCATGTCCTGGTGGTGTGGGGCCACACATGTCCTACAGCTGAGCTGGGTGGCACCAAAGCAATGCAGGAAAACATCAGCCTGAAGACCTTGTGCACCAGACTGGCTTTTATGGCTGGATAGGGTGTTTCTCCAGGGGTTTTAGAGAATCCTAGAGAGGAGGGATGGCAGTGGATGCTGCAGGGTGTGGGTACACCTCAGATCTCAGAGCTCCTTAGCCCCCCTCAGCACCCACCTACACTATTACCTGTCTCACAGGTTGGGTGCTAAACCCTCTTCTGAGACACCTCCTGCCCCATGGCCTCACACCTCCCACCTCAGAGGGGCTCTGGGACGCTCAGTCAGTGCTGGTGTTTACAGATTCCTGCAGGGGGATAACGAGTAAGGGGTGAGTCAGCTTCACAGATTCACAGAATCACAGAACTGTTAGTGTTGGAAAGGACTTCCAGATACCACCCAGTCCAACCCGCTGCCAAGGCATGGGGACCTGGAGCAGGTGACACAGGAATGTGTCTGGGTGGGTTTGGAATGTCTGTAGAGAAGGATAATCCACAACCTCCCTGGGCAGCTCTGCCACCCTCCACGGAAAGCAGGTCTTCCCATGTTGAGGTGGAACTTCTTGTGTTTCAGTTTATGGCCATTGCTCCTCATCTTGTCACTTAGCTCCAAGGAAAAGAGTCTGGCACCATCCTCTGGACACCCCTTGGAGATATTTATATGCATTGATGAGATCCCCTCTCAGTCTTCTCTGGACTAACCAGGCCCAGCTCCTGCAGTCTCTCCTCATAAGGGGGATGCTCCAGTCCTTTAATCACCTCTGTGGCCCCTTCTGGGGGCATGGAGAGAGCTCAGACGGGAGGGGCTGTGACATTACCTGTCAGAAAAGTGTTTTCACCATTTGGAATGGGCTGCCGGGAGGTGGTGGAGTCAGCACGCCTGGAATTGTTTAAGAGGTGTTTGGATCTGGCGCTGGGTGATCTGGTTGAGGGGTTACGTTGGTGGTGCTGAGGGTGAGGGTTGGATTGGATGATCTTAAGGGTCTCCTTAGACCTTGCTGAATCTGTAGTTTCATGATGCTTTGATTCTGCAATTTCCTGATTCTATGATTCCCTAATTCTGTGATTCTATGATTCCGTAATTCCGTGATTCTATAATTCTGTGGGTCTTTGATTCTACAGTTCCGTGATTCTGCAACTCTGCGATTCCATGATTCTGTATTTCTGTGATTCCGTAATTTCCCGATTCTGTGATTCCGCAGTTGTGTGGTTCCATGATTCTACAATTCTGTCATCCCGAGATTCCATCATTCTGTGAGTCTGTGCCTCCGCCGTTCCACAATTCCCCGATTCCCGCTCGCTCAGCGGGGCCGCCCCCCCCGCTCCCTCATGGCCGAGGGCGGGAGCGGCGCGCGGGCCCCTCCCCGCGGGGGGCGGGCTGAGGCGGGAGGAGGCCGCGCGGCCGCCATGTTGTTGTGCCCGTGAGGCGGCGGCGGCGGCCCCGAGCCCGCAGCGACCCCGGCCCCGGCAGGACGCCGCGCCCCGGACGGGCGGGGGCTCCGCGCCATGCCCTGCCCCGCGGTAAGGACCCGCCGGCGTGCCCGCTGTCCCGCGGCGGGGAGGGCCGGCCCGGCGCGGGGCCTGGCGGAGCGCGGCCGCGCTGTCACTGAGGGCCGCACACGCCCCCTCGGCCGCGGGTGCGGGGCCGCCACGGCGCCCTCAGCCCCGCTCCGCTCGGCCCGGCCGGGGGCAGCGGCAGGAGGCGGCTCGGCGGCCTCCTGTGCTCGGCCGTGCCGTTCTCGGCGGGGCTCGGGCGGCGGGGCCGGGCAGCGGGCTGCCCGCTGGGCCTCGCCCGGCGCCGCCGCTCCCGTGCCCGGCCCGCGGAGGTGCCCGGGGGTGGCCGGTTCCCTTGGGGGTGCCCGGGGGTGGCCGGTTTCCCCGGAGGTGCCCGGGGGTGGCCGGTCTCCCCGGGGTGGCCGCTCCCCGCGAGCCCGCCGCGGTCGCCCCGTGCCGTTGGCAACCGCCGGCCCCTGCCCGGCTCCTCGGGCCGCCGTGTGTCAGCTCCGCTCGGCTGCCCTTGTGCGCGGGGCCGAATTCCCGTGCCTTTTGTACCTGGGGCTTGTTAAGGCTTTTTATTGACATGGTGTTGCGGCTTTAATTGCGCCTCTTCCCCCTGTTCCTCTTAACAGTCCTGTTCTTTCACTGGGATCTGAGCAGATGTTGCCCTTCCTTGGTAAGTGCTTTGCCCCCCGACATGGAGCTTAAATGTGTGCGTTGAAGTTGTTCCCGCTCTTGTTGGTTTTTTATCAGCAGATGAGACCTGGTGTTTCTTCACATCTCTGCACAGGAAATTGATTTCTTTCCTTTCCGTGCACACTTCCCTCGCTGGGGGAAGGTTGGGTGTGAGCTTGTAACTCTTGCAGGCTTCAAGTGTTATAGGCGCTTTCCTGTGTGCTTCACCTGTTTGGTTGGTTGTGTGATGTAGCCGTGTCAATGAGGCTTTCTGTTGGAAGAAAGGAGCTTCTCTAGTGAATCATGTCAGGTAGTGCTGAGTGTGGAGGTGCAGCTTGGCTTTCTGGTGAATATAAAGGCACGTTTAGATTCCTTGGTGAGTCCACTGGGAAGGGACAGAGCGTGACGGAGGGAGCTATGACAGGTTTCTTGTAGTACCTGTCATGCTCTGAGCTGTAGATAAAGAGCTGAGCTGCCTTTTGTCTGTTACTAAAGCACGTGGTATTTGAAAATGAACTTTTTTGATGGAGGTGAAGGAGTTTTTATGAAGGAGCGCTTGTGAACTGGGGGGAGGAGGCTGACATGTGATACCTGCTTTGCTTCAGCTGTTACTGATCGCTGTGGTTTGGGAGATAGAAGTGGTGCTTTCTTTCCTAGCACAGGAAATACTGAGCTGTAAGTGTTGAAACTTTGTGCAGATAAGTGAAGGCGGGGCACGAGGGTCTAGAATGCTTCAGTGACAAGTGCTTCTGTGCCTGCTTTGGGGCTTGGGGAGGGGACAAAGGGGCACAAACAGTGGTGTTGACCAAACCATGTTGTTTTTTGAGTGATTGCACTAAAAGGTGCTCTTGTCCTACTTCACTTTATAGGGGTGATATATAGAGGGCCAAGCTGAGTTCTCTTGCTGGCAGTGCTGTAGGTGCCTATCTAGGATGCTGTTAATATTCATTACATTAACTGCACTAGCAATTATTAAAATATCACTGTTAACCTGCTTAAGTAACCTGCCATGCAACCCACTAATGATACCACGGAGGTGGAGTAGGTCAGCTTGAAAAGCTGTCATTGTATTTTATTTATTTTTTACATAAAAACAGCCATCTGCAGCTGGAGGAGACAGAAATGGAGCATGCCCAGGCTTCTGAAATAGAGGATACAATATTTTATCTCAGATCTCAATCCACCTACGTGCAGCCCAGGATGGTGGAGAGAAGTATGTTGTCAGCTTTCAGGAGTAGGAGGAACAGGGCTGTGCAGTGCTTTGCTGGCAATTAACCTGGAAAAAAGGAGTAACTTAAGGAGAGGGGGATCGTTGGGCTGCTGGAGTAACGGGCAAGTCTGCTGTAGCAAGGAAGAGGAATTGTCTCCATGGAGTGACTCGGAGGAGCTGGGTTAGCAACCAGCACAGAGTTCAAGATCTCTTCACCTGCAGAGATCAAAAGGCTGTGGTGGCTGTTCCTGCCCTGATGGCTTCCTACTGGGAAGTGTAACTGGATATAAGGAGATAGGACTCTTCTACTTGGTATCGGTGGTGCCTTCCAGAGCACTTGCCTCCAAATAGTGCATTAGAGCTTATCAAATGCTGTGAACTAGAATGAGACGTCCAGATACTTCAACATGCACTTGTTTCATAGTATCTTTCGCTGGCTGAGTCAAAGTAATGTCATGTTTCCTTCAAAATAACCTTTTGGGTGCTGAAATGTCTGAGCCAGGAGGTGCAACTGTTCTGCATTTGTCTCTAGCCTGGGTTGCTGGTGGTGTAAAGAGCTGCCTGTTAGATCCCATATGGGTTTGAAACTCTGAGAAATGAGCTTCATGACTTGTGATTCCACCCCCCCTTCTAGATATCGGTGCCGTAACTTCCCAGTGCTGTCAGGAAAACTTCAGGAATGTGCCCAGTGCTCAGTTCGTGCTGCGATCCTGTGAATTAACTGGATTGTTAAAAGACAACTATTTCTTTCTACATAATGCTTCAAAATTTCAGGCTGACTGAGTGGCTTTCATGGAAGACCTCAAAGTGGAGCTGGTGGTAATTCCGGAATTTGAAATGCTGACTTTTTACTGAGAGCTCAGCTCCTGGTGCTTTAACAGCTTCTCCCTTGGACGGGGCAGGGTTGCTGTGTCCAGACTGGTGCATCGACTTGAATATGTGTCAGCTGCTTGTGGGATGGGCAGAGGTCACAAACCACAGCCTCCTTTGGTGTGAACTGTCCTTATTCGGAGTGTATTTTTCAGCAGGACAGCCAGAACTCTGCCCTTGCTTTGGGGGGAGCAGCTGAGGAGCTCTGACAGGATGGACTCGATGCCGTACAAATCTAATGGTGAACTGGAGCATGAGTAGCCCTGACCTGTTCTTCCCCTCATCTAATCAGTAGTTTCTGGTGGTGGTGTGAGGGAGGTGAACCCCAGCTGGCTGTAGTGATTCCAGGGGTAATGTTTCATCCCGTAAGGAAGCCTCGAGTTTGTCCCTGCTGCTACTCCCTGTAGCTCTGAGCAGCAGGGAAGAAATGTGCGTGATCTTGTTGCAAGCAGTGGTATCTCTCACCTTTAGTCTGTTCTGAGGTGTCAGGTTGTGCTGTTCTGAGCCAGAGGTGCTCTGCTCTCCTCCAGCCAGTGCCAATGTGCACCTGAAGTGAGGCCTGGACCTGCGAAGTGAGCTGGGGGGGAGGGCAAACAGGCAGCTTTCTAGAATGTTCACTGACGTGGGGAAGCTGCTTCTGGAGTCACTGATGTCCAGCAAAAAGCAGTGTTTGTAAAGGCTTCGCTTAAAATACGATTGCTGATTCCTAGCTTTGGTTCATCTTCTGAAACTTGGAATCTTAATGTGAAGCTGGCAAAGCAGCAGTTGGTTTGACACCTGGATGTGGCTGCAGGTTAAGCTGGTAACTGGTAGTGTGCTCTCTAGGGCTTACTGGGGGCAACTGGGTATTTCAGAGGTTTTGTTCCCCCTCATGGGTGGAACAACAGACCTTATGGGTCCTTATTAACCCTTATGGGTGTTAACGCTAAAAATTGTAATAAGGTAACCATGGAAAGATCCAGCTGGAAGTTTTTCTGGAATTTGTGTGTGAGGCAGCTAATGACATTGAAATAGTTGTCATGGAGGTGGTGGAACTCTGAGAAGGGGAGAAAAAACCCCCAGACTCTGAAAGAACTGCCTAAATAAGGGGCTCTTGCTCTTCCTTGGGGGAGTTGGATTTCAAAAAACTTGAAGCTGGATGGCCCTTGTTCAGCAATACTGCAACTAAATTGTACAAGCTGCTGTATTGAAGTATTGCCACTTCTGAAATGTGAATACTTTGAACAAGCTCCAGTGGAACTTGATTTTATTTTTCCTCTTGACTAGGAGTGCAGTGAAAAGCTGTAAAGCAGCAGTGGCTCGGGGGCAGGCTGTTGTACATCACCAGTCATGCCAGTCATGAAATGTGTCCTCAATAACACATGCTAATGGATTTTAAGCAGCATTAAACTCCTTTTTTAGAGAAATTTAACCAAAAATACTGAACTGTAAATACTTCAAAATAAAACTTTGCAGGCTGATGTTGAAAGAGGACAGAACATCAAAGAAACCAAGGCTTGGAGAAGCACCGTAGGTGACAAGTAAAGCAAGTTGTCCTTTGCCTTGCTCAGCACATCTCGCTGCTTTCAGCCTTCATTGTCATGGACTGAGTAACCTCGGTGGAAATGAAGCTGGGTTTGCTCTGCACAGCTTTCACCTGAGATGCTGATCCAGCTGATGCTTTTACTGGCTTTGGTGGCGCTGGTTGTTCCTCAGGTTGTTGTGCAGCGTGCAAACAGCGTGGCAGTGCCCAGCTTCACGTTTTCAGCTGTTGTGTATCTGGTGGAGCGTTAGAACTGGTGCTGGGCTGGGCTTAGCTTGGCAAATTGTCCTGTCGCCTATGGAATTAGCTTGAAGCGAGAAGGAAATCTGAAAGTTAGTGTTAGTCCCTGACTGCTCGGGAAGAGCTGGGCTTTAGGGAAGGCAGCCAGAACAGACCACCCCCCTGACTGGGGCGTGTTCTTTACAGGGGCAACTGTAGCAGGGAATGTCCAAATGTTTGAACTTCCCAGGCTGGACAGCAAGGGAGGCTTGGAGCTTCCAGCATGTGGCCTAGAAGGCAGTGAATATCCGTGTAGGAAAGACTTGTGCTGTTTTTCTTTGATATTTAGATGTCTTCTTCCTTGCTGTTGTGTGTGTGGGTCTCAGCTGTATGTTCTGTGCTCCCTCCATTCGAGTTTAGTCCAGTCATTCTTGCATCGTCTGCAGAGTGACATCGTCTTGGTTTGATTTCAGAACTGAAGTTGTTCTTTACTGGCACTGTCTCTAGCAGATGTGCCAGGTCTAACCTACCAGGTTTAGCCTTTCCTGGAAAAAAGAATTAAAAAGGACTTTTTTCACTATAATCTCAGCTTCCTACTTTTCAAGGTAACGATGTTGTTAAAGTAACTTACTTACCTGTATGTGCTTCTCTCATGCTTTACATTATCCCCATGGCTAAGAATTCTACCAGAACATCTCATTTATGGTTCTTCTTACCCAATTTTAAGAAAGATTTTCATCAGGGAAAACCAGTGAAAATGGTTTGAATCTTTCTTTAACTGAGATTTCTGAAAGCAAAGTAGCATGAAATAGATCTCTAGGGTGCCTGTCTGTGTGATGAAGTCTTTTGTGTATACAAGTCTAATAGTCTCTAAGTATTTTGGATTGTTCTGGTACTCTGAAGGTTTAGTTTTTAGAACATATAGGCAGTATGGGGGGAAGTAATGCACTTGAGGTTGAATTTGTGGAGGAAGGCTGCTGCATTGCCATAATTAAGTCTTTGTAGTTTTTCTTTCCAATACCAGAGATTTGTGCACTGGTATAGACATTATTTATAGAAACACTGTTAGAACAGTTTTGTGTTGCCCTTTTGTGGGCCTCATTTGCTTCTCCAACTTTGGAACTGGAAACTAGGGCTATAATCAAAGCATTAATTCTGTGGTGTTACCTGGGAGGACGGA